AACAGAAACACAATGAATAGTGCATTCAATACAAGCTTTGAAATACGGTATAGTCAAAATATAACAATCTACATCATACAGTTGCTTCTTCCTTCTAGGACTCGTCAGTGATGTTACATCATAAAGTTGTTTCGTCCTTCTATGACTCGTCAATAATGCTACATCATACAGCTGTTTCGTCCTTCTATGACTCGTTACTGATGTTACATTATACAGCTGTTTCGTCCTTCTAGGACTCTTCAGCGGTGCTACATCATATAGCTGTTTCGTCTTTCTAGGAATCGTCAGTGATGTTACATCATAAAGTTGTTTCGTCCTTCTATGACTCGTCAATAATGCTACATCATACAGCTGTTTCGTCCTTCTATGACTCGTTACTGATGTTACATTATACAGCTGTTTCGTCCTTCTATGACTCGTCAGTAATGCTACACCATACAGCTTTTTCGTCCTTCTAGGACTCGTCAGTGATGTTACATCATATAGCTGTTTCGTCCTTCTAGGACTCGTTAGTGATGCTACATCATACAGCTGTTTCGTCTTTCTTTGACTCGTCACTGATGCTAGATCATTCAGCTGTTTTGTCCTTCTATGACTCGTCAGTGATACTACATCATACAGCTGGTTCGTCGTTCTATGACTCGTCACTGATGCTACATCATACAGCTGTTTCGTCCTTCTAAGACTCGTCACTGATGCTAGAGGCTTAAAATGTTTGAAACACAAGAGTCGAACGAAGGAAATACAAAACTAGTGAGTGACAATAGATGTCACAAGGTATATGGGGAGGTGCACTAGCCTAAATGTTCTGCTATTGAATAATTTTGAAAGAATGACAAGCACACGTGTAAATTCTGAACGGCAAAATCAACCATGCAAATCTATCTTAAGTTGAATATATAAGGATTTTTTTAATGAGGAGTCCGAAAAGTATGATTTACTTATAAGGACAGTTTTACAATAAAATGTTTTGATTTATTCCGTCGTATTTCGATGTGTCACATATCTCATGCATAAGAACTTTGAATTACGCGCGCACGGTAGAAAGTCGTGTACCGGATATTTATTTGGTTTAAGGTTTATATATGTATTGTTAAATTCATGAGTTATTTTATCCATTTTGCTGTGAGATAAACAGCCGTAAACAGTGTCATTACCTGTTCTATTTATAAAGTCGCAACTGTACTGTACAGGTGTATACACGTGTTAGCAGGTGCGTTTGTTATTGTTAGCTAGTAAGGTGGTGACTCTACATTTGTATGTTCAAGGAGTGATACGGCATAATATGTAACATTATAACAAACCCAATTGTAGTTAAGTAATTACTGTTTATAAGCTGGAATAATTTTGAATAATTATAAAGAGTTTCGTAGAGTGGTTACATCTATTGTGGTTTATGGTATTACACGCAAAACGGGTTACGTTGTAGCGTTGCTAGTAATAGCGTGTTCCTTAAAGACGGTTATTGCAATTTTCTCAGAATAATAGGGAATAAGTTTGTGATTAGTGGATGTCAATTATATTGTAGTTTAACCCGATATTGTTGGTGCCGGTGGGGTCTCACATTGACGTTTCCGGAGTGTTACGGACCGGTGGCCGATGCTATTGACCGGTGAGGTAGACCAAGGTCCATACAGTCCTCCAACTGGGGATGGTTATTTGGGATGATCGTCCAACCCTCGAGTCTGTTGATGTAGGATTCGTCTTCGGCTTGGGAGGGTTAAGGTTGTGGAGTACCTGGAGTAGCTATGGTAGCTAGGGACTCGGTACACCGAAAGTGGAACTCAGCCCACTAGTAAGTGTGAGGACGTTTGGCCGTCAGTGTGCAACATGGTGGATTACTGCCCACTTGCATTGTGATCTGAGACAGTAGTGTTCATTGTTTGACTGTTTTATAGAAAGTGTGGACCACAGCCCATCTTTACCAGTGTTATTGTGCATTTTGTTGTGTTGTAGCAATGGAATGAAAGAGTGAGAGAATCCGCGTTAACTTACCTTTTCTGTCATTGTAAATAAATATATGTACAGGTATACTAAGGAACAAGTGTCAGTTATATATTGTCAGCATCAACACAAAACCGCTCTTCCCGTTACACGATGTCAGCATGTCATATCAGTCTAGCCTTTTCACATTAACACAAATATTCGATCGGTTAGAATGTATGATAAATCTGATATGATTGACATATACATCAGCTATCGTGTGCCCACATTCTCTCATCCTGTATGAATGTCCTGAAAACACGTGTCCGTGCAATGCATTGTGACAAGGAGTACGATTTAGGACTTTACAAGTGAGATATAATATCATTTACGAATTTAACAAAGCAAAACCCTTTTTAAAATGAAACCAATTTCTTTTCAAAGTTTAAAGGTCAGTAGACAACCAACGTCTTTGTATGTCAAGCCGAGAATATCTTACCTCAGCATGGTTCGTGTTCAAATGAACGCTATTATACAAGTTTACCAAAAAGACATGTTTGTATACCGAGGAAGGCATCGTGTTTTTGTCTTTTAATGATAAGTTATTATATCCTTAGCTATTTGCAAGCTCGAAAAAAGGTAAAACCACATATTTATCAAATGCGTTGCACTTGCCTAATTTTATTTATTTGTTTGGTGGTTTGGGCCCACGCGTCCTCTGCATAGCTGAGGCAGCGTGTATGTACACAGCAATAATTACATTAGGCCTACACATTTCCATCATATTTCTTATGTAAAATGTTCTGAAAACAAGTTATCAACATCGTTGATAACTTAAAAGTTATTTTCAATTCAATTTAACGTTAGTACATTTAAGCCAGTGAAACAAACAATCAAGAGGAATTTGTCTTTTGGCATTCTCGCAAAAGCCACTGTATGTAGATGCACGCTGAAAAGTAGATTAAGTATGTCCATGATTGTGAAAGAGAACTACTTGGATTAAGGAGTTAAATAAGTAATGGATTACCTTTGTGAAATGATATTTCATACTTCCTATCCGTAGTTATGTAGATGTAAGCTAATTTCGATGGCTACAGTTTTTACTTTAAAGAACGGAATTAATAGATACTTCGGAAAGAAAACCAAAATCCGTGAAAATACATCCATTTCATTCAAGCTTTTTGAGAATAATCGAAAATTTGAACCATCAAAAATTACGACCTGAACAGTAAATAAGACTTGATGACTTATTTCTTTCATCAATAAGGCATAAGAGTACCACGCCATACTTAGAAATCGCTGACCATTCTACCCGTTATTACTGTCCTGACCTACATTCCTGTAAATAGTTAGAAATCGCTGACCATTCTACCCGTTATTACTGTCCTGGTCTACATTCCTGTAAATACTTTGAAATCGCTGACCATTCTACCCGTTATGACTGTCCATTCTACCCGTTATGACTTCCCTGGTCTACATTCCTGTAAATACTTAGAAATCGCTGACCATTCTACCCGTTATGTCTTTCTTGGTTTATATTTCTGTAAATACTTAGAAATCACTGACCATTCTACCCGTTATGACTGACCATTCTACCCGTTATGACTGTCCATTCTACCCGTTGTGTCTTTCCTGGTCTACATTTCTGTAAATAATTAGAAATCGCTGTCCATTCTACCCGTTATTACTGTCCTGGTCTACATTCCTGTAAATACTTAGAAATCGCTGACCATTCTACCCGTTATGACTTTCCTGGTCTACATTCCTGTAAATAATTAGAAATCACTGACCATTCTACCTGTTATGATTTTCCTGGTCTATATTTCTGTAAATACTTAGAAATCGCTGACCATTCTACCCGTTATGTCTTCCTGGTCTATATTTCTGTAAATACTTAGAAATCGCTGACCAGTCTACCCGTTATGTCTTTCCTGGTCTATATTTCTGTAAATACTTAGAAATCACTGACCATTCTACCCGTTATGACTTTCCTGGTCTATATTTCTGTAAATACTTAGAAATCGCTGACCATTCTACCCGTTATGTCTTTCCTGGTCTATATTTCTGTAAATACTTAGAAATCACTGACCATTCTACCCGTTATGACTTTCCTGATCTACATTTCTGTAAATACTTAGAAATCGCTGACCATTCTACCCGTTAGGTCTTTCCTGGTTTACATTCCTGTAAATAATTAGAAATCGCTGACCATTCTACCCGTTATGTCTTTCCTGGTTTACATTCCTGTAAATAATTAGAAATCGCTGACCATTCTACCCGTTATGTCTTTCCTGGTTTACATTCCTGTAAATAATTAGAAATCGCTGACCATTCTACCCGTTATGTCTTTCCTGGTTTACATTCCTGTAAATACTTAGAAATCGCTGACCATTCTACCCGTTAGGTCTTTCCTGGTTTACATTCCTGTAAATACTTAGAAATCGCTGACCATTCTACCCGTTAGGTCTTTCCTGGTTTACATTCCTGTAAATAATTAGAAATCGCTGTCCATTCTACCCGTTATGTCTTTCCTGGTTTACATTCCTGTAAATAATTAGAAATCGCTGACCATTCTACCCGTTATGTCTTTCCTGGTTTACATTCCTGTAAATAATTAGAAATCGCTGACCATTCTACCCGTTATGTCTTTCCTGGTTTACATTCCTGTAAATACTTAGAAATCGCTGACCATTCTACCCGTTATGTCTTTCCTGGTTTACATTCCTGTAAATAATTAGAAATCGCTGTCCATTCTACCCGTTATGTCTTTCCTGGTCTATATTCCTGTAAATAATTAGAAATCACTGACCATTCTACCCGTTATGTCTTTCCTGATCTATATTTCTGTTAATAATGTACATCTTTATGATTTTTGATTGTGAAGAATCTTTTAATATCACACTGTTTAATTGCTCCATGCTGTGCTTTACCTACGTATTGTCTAAGAACATTTAAGAGGATATCCAAAGTTGTCGTTAAAAAGAAAATTGTGACGTTAGTTGCCCCTTCTCAACGTTCATAATAATTCATCAATTTGTCTTGTTGGTTTATCACCCAATGAACAGCCAGAATCATTTTCAGGCGGTTTTTTTTTGTAGCAGACGGCAGCCACCATCCTGTAGTGGGAGGTAGCCACCTTCATGTAGTGGGTGGTAGTCACCTTCCTGTAATGGATGGTATCCATCTTCTTGTAGTGTGTGGTAGCCACCTTCCTGTAGTGGGTGGTAGTCACCTTCATGTAGTGGGTGGTAGTCACCTTCATATAGTGTGTGGTAGTCATCTTCCTGTAATGGGTGGTAGTCACCTTCCTGTAGTGGGTGGTAGCCACCTTCATGTAGTTGGTGGTAGTCACCTTCATGTAGAGGGTGGTAGTCAGCTTCCTGTAGTGGATAGTAGCCACCTTCATGTAGCAGGTGGTAGCAACCTTCATGTAGTGGGTGGTAGTCACCATCATGTAGTGGGTGGTAGTCACCTTCCTGTAGTGGGTGGTAGCCACCTTCCTGTAGTGGGTGGTAGTCACCTTCCTGTAGAGGGTGGTAGTCAGCTTCCTGTAGTGGATAGTAGCCACCTTCATGTAGCAGGTGGTAGCAACCTTCATGTAGTGGGTGGTAGTCACCATCATGTAGTGGGTGGTAGCCACCTTCCTGTAGTGGGTAGTAGCCACCTTCCTGTAGTGGGTGGTAGCCACCTTCTTGTAGTGGGTAGTAGCCACCTTCATGTAATGGGTGGTAGTCACCTTCCTGTAGTGGGTGGTAGCCACCTTCCTGTAGTGGATGATAGCCACCTTCCTGTAGTGGGTGGTAGGTACCTTCATGTAGTTGGTGGTAGTCACCTTCATGTAGTGGGTGGTAGCCAACTTCCTATAGTGTCTAGTAGCTACCTTCCTGTAGTGTGTGGTAGTCACCTTACTGTAAAGTGTGGTAGCCACCTTCCTGTGGTGTGTGGTAGCCACCTTCCTGTAATGGGTGGTAGTCACCATCATGTAGTGGGTGGTAGCCACCTTCCTGTAGTGGGTAGTAGCCACCTTCCTGTAATGGGTGGTAGCCACCTTCATGTAGTGGGTGGTAGCCACCTTCCTGTAATGGGTGGTAGTCACCATCATGTAGTGGGTGGTAGCCACCTTCCTGTAGTGGGTGGTAGCCACCTTCCTGTAATGGGTGGTAGCCACCTTCATGTAGTGGGTGGTAGCCACCTTCCTGTAGTGGGTGGCAGCCACCTTCATGTAGTGGGTGGTAGCCACCTTCCTGTAGTGGGTGGTAGTCACTTTCATGTAGTGGGTGGTAGTCACCTTCATATAGTGTGTGGTAGTCACCTTCCTGTAATGGATGGTATCCATCTTTTTGTAGTGTGTGGTAGCCGCCTTTCTGTACTGGGTGGTAGTCACCTTCATGTAGTGTGTGGTAGTCACCTTTCTGTAATGGATGGTATCCATCTTCCTGTAGTGGGTGGTAGCCACCTTCCTGTAGTGGGTGGTAGTCACCTTTATGTAGAGGGTGGTAGTCAGCTTCCTGTAGTGGATAGTAGCCACCTTCTTGTAGTGGGTAGTAGCCACCTTCATGTAGTGGGTGGTAGTCACCTTCCTGTAGTGGGTGGTAGTCACCATCCTGTAGTGGGTGGTAGTCACCTTCATGTAGTGTGTGATAGTCATCTTCCTGTAATGGGTGGTAGCCACCTTCCTGTAGTGGGTGGTAGCCACCTTCATGTAGTGTGTGGTAGTCACCTTTCTGTAATGGATGGTATCCATCTTCCTGTAGTGGGTGGTAGCCACCTTCCTGTAGTTGGTGGTAGCCACCTTCATGTAGAGGATGGTAGTCAGCTTCCTGTAGTGGATAGTAGCCACCTTCATGTAGCAGGTGGTAGCAACCTTCATGTAGTGGGTGGTAGCCACCTTCCTGTAGTGGGTGGTAGCCACCTTCCTGTAATGGGTGGTAGCCACCTTCATGTAGTGGGTGGTAGCCACCTTCCTGTAATGGGTGGTAGTCATCATCATGTAGTGGGTGGTAGCCACCTTCCTGTAGTGGGTGGTAGCCACCTTCCTGTAATGGGTGGTAGCCACCTTCATGTAGTGGGTGGTAGCCACCTTCCTGTAGTGGGTGGCAGCCACCTTCATGTAGTGGGTGGTAGCCACCTTCCTGTAGTGGGTGGTAGTCACCTTCTTGTAGTGGGTGGTAGTCACCTTCATATAGTGTGTGGTAGTCACCTTCCTGTAATGGATGCTATCCATCTTTTTGTAGTGTGTGGTAGCCACCTTTCTGTAGTGTGTGGTAGTCACCTTTCTGTAATGGATGGTATCCATCTTCCTGTAGTGGGTGGTAGCCACCTTCCTGTAGTGGGTGGTAGTCAGCTTCCTGTAGTGGATAGTAGCCACCTTCATGTAGCAGGTGGTAGCAACCTTCATGTAGTGGGTGGTAGTCACCATCATGTAGTGGGTGGTAGCCACCTTCCTGTAGTGGGTGGTAGCCACCTTCTTGTAGTGGGTAGTAGCCACCTTTATGTAGTGGGTGGTAGTCACCTTCCTGTAGTGGGTGGTAGTCACCATCCTGTAGTGGATGATAGCCACCTTCCTGTAGTGGGTGGTAGCCACCTTCATGTAGTGGGTGGTAGTCACCTTCCTGTAGTGGGTGGTAGTCACCATCCTGTAGTGGGTGGTAGTCACCTTCATGTAGTGTGTGATAGTCATCTTCCTGTAATGGGTGGTAGCCACCTTCCTGTAGTGGGTGGTAGCCACATTCATGTAGAGGATGGTAGTCAGCTTCCTGTAGTGGATAGTAGCCACCTTCATGTAGCAGGTGGTAGCAACCATCATGTAGTGGGTGGTAGCCACCTTCCTGTAGTGGGTAGTAGCCACCTTCCTGTAGTGGGTGGTAGCCACCTTCTTGTAGTGGGTAGTAGCCACCTTCATGTAGTGGGTGGTAGTCACCTTCCTGTAGTGGGTGGTAGCCACCTTCCTGTAGTGGATGATAGCCACCTTCCTGTAGTGGGTGGTAGCCACCTTCCTGTAATGGGTGGTAGGTACCTTCATGTAGTTAGTGGTAGTCACCTTCATGTAATGGGTGGTAGCCACCTTCCTGTAGTGTGTGGTAGTCACCATCCTGTAGTGGGTGGTAGCCACCCTCCTGTGGTGTGTGGTAGCCACCTTCATGTAATGGGTGGTAGTCACCATCCTGTAGTGGGTGGTAGCCACCTTCCTGTTATGAATGATATCCATCTTCCTGTAGTGGGTGGTAGCCACCTTCCTGTAGTGGGTGGTAGGTACCTTCATGTAGTGGGTGGTAGTCACCTTCATGTACTGGGTGGTAGGCAACTTCCTATAGTGGCTAGTAGCTACCTTCCTGTAGTGTGTGGTAGCCACCTTAATGTAAAGTGTGGTAGCCACCTTTCTGTGGTGTGTGGTAGCCACCTTCATGTAGTGGGTGGTAGCCACCTTCTTGTAGTGGGTAGTAGCCACCTTCATGTAGTGGGTGGTAGTCACCTTCCTGTAGTGGGTGGTAGCCACCTTCCTGTAGTGGGTGGTAGCCACCTTCCTGTAGTGGGTGGTAGGTACCTTCATGTAGTTGGTGGTAGGTACCTTCATGTAGTTGGTGGTAGTCACCTTCATGTAATGGGTGGTAGCCACCTTCCGGTAGTGTGTGGTAGTCACCATCCTGTAGTGGGTGGTAGCCACCCTCCTGTGGTTTGTGGTAGCCACCTTCATATAATGGGTGGTAGTCACCATCCTGTAGTGGGTGGTAGCCACCTTCCTGTTATGAATGATATCCATCTTCCTGTAGTGGGTGGTAGTCACCTTCATGTAGTGGGTGGTAGGCAACTTCCTATAGTGGCTAGTAGCTACTGTAAAGTGTGGTAGCCACCTTTCTGTGGTGTGTGGTAGCCACCTTCCTGTAGAGGGTGGTAGTCACCTTGATGTAGTGTGGGTGGTAGCCACCTTGATGTAGTGGGGGTAGGGGTGGGGATAGTCACCTTCCTGTAGTGGGTTGTAGGAACCTTCCTGTAATGGATGGTAGCCACCTTCCTGTAGTGGGTTGTAGGAACCTTCCTTAGTGGGTGGTAGCCACCATCATGTAGTGGGTTTAAGACACCTTCCTGTAGTGTGTGGTAGCCACCTTCCTGTAGTGGGTGGTAGCCAACTTCCTATAGTGGCTAGTAGCTACCTTCCTGTAGTGTGTGGTAGCCACCTTACTGTAAAGTGTGGTAGCCACCTTTCTGTGGTGTGTGGTAGCCACCTTCCTGTAGAGGGTGGTAGTCACCTTCATGTAGTGTGGGTGGTAGCCACCTTGATGTAGTGGGTGTAGGGGTGGGGATAGTCACCTTCCTGTAGTGGGTTGTAGGAACCTTCCTGTAGTGGGTGGTAGCCACCATCATGTAGTGGGTTTTAGACACCTTCCTGTAGTGTGTGGTAGCCACTTTCCTGTAATGGATGGTAGCCACCTTCCTGTAGTGGTTTGTAGTCATTTTCCTGTAGTTAGCGGTAGCCACCTACAGGAAGGTGGTTATCACCAACTACAAAAAGGTGGCTACCTTCCGGTAGTGGGTGGTAGCAGGAACACAAACCGCCACGGATAAGGAGTGTCGAACCATGCACCTCGGCTCTTCACCTGAGTATACGTGTGCCAACGTTCTAACCAACTTATCCATCGCGGTTCCTCCATCAACAGCAGTAAACTTGATTTTAAGTACGATTTGAATAAGTTATCGGCGATGATAATCAAATTTCTTACAGTAATTTCCAAGCTGTACGCTAAGGAAGTGGAGTGGTAGTAGGTATACGATGTTCAGGCAGTTACGGACTACAACCAATGTAATGTTATTCAGATAATTGTAACAGAATTGAAACTGGCAGCTGCGTGTTCTGTCTGTATAAAGATTATCTTGACATTGTTGAATCTGTCACTCCCAATCATTCAGCTGATTTCTATCACTTGGTCCAAGTCCGATGATTTATTACATCTGTAGAATATTTTCTTTCCGTAAACGTAGGATCACTTGTGTGCTGTGTTGTTCGCGATTTATTGAAATTATCGAATGTCGTTTGTCTTGTTTATTACCCAAACCGCTATCATGTCGTAATGTTGAGTAGTGTACAGTCTTACAGTCGAAACAGTATCAATTATTGGTTGTTTATAGAAGAGAAATACCCCATGTTGTACATCTTCCTCTGTCTCAGTTACTATAACTACATCTCCATACAGAGAAACATGTAGTACTTAACTCCAACATGTGATATCAATATTTTGAAATAGTGATATCAATATTTCGATTTAACGATAAAAAATATTTCAAATTTAATTATATCAATTATTGTAGTTTGTAATATCGTTAAATATTTATTGATATCACTAAATCGAAAATAAGTAACATCACTAATACGAACATTTGATATCATTAAATGAATCATTGATATCAATATATTCCGAAATTAGTATAATCATTAATTCATTTATTGATATCGATAATGTTAACATCGGATGTCTAACTCAACCACATCCATCCGTTGTGTAACTTCTATATCACTGACTGATATTACATAGGTATACCCATACATAATTACCGATCCACAGTTTTACTGAATTTAATCTGTTGAACAAATTTGTCCAAAATCTTCAATCAATGGTAAGTGACCCGATACATACAACAGATATTCTATCACACAGCAGTCAAAACTCGACTGGTGTAAGAAAAGTGTCAGTTTGGAATTAATTTGGTTAAGAATAAATGTGGTTGCCTTGATCCAATTATCAGAACTCAACATCATTTATACATTAATCACTTTTATCTAGATTTACCTACTTCGTCTCGAGACAAAATATAATTAGACACATCGATATTGAATCTTGGCATAGTATTTTTACCTGCCAAATTCACAGATTGTTGTATTTTATTAATAGCCTGGTTTATTCTATATAACATCGTTTGGATGTGAGTGACAACCAATTCGGAGCGAACCAATCACTTTGTCAGTTCCCGTCTCTAAAGATACTCGCTCGGTGGGCATTGTTGGAGATGATGGATTACTGAAGTTTGAGATATTACTAGTTGGTCAGATCGAGATGTAGTTTCTGTTAAAGGAGTTATCGGTATATCAAAAAAATAATGTTTACTTCACTCGTAAGAATATCATGAAGTTGGGAATAAATTAATGTAGAATGGCTTTGTTCAAGGTAAGTAACTGTTACACTATGTAAAGACATAGACAAACAGGACATTTTACTACAATAACAATTAAAAGATTCTGTGATTTTTTTTCACGCACTTCTTCAGTTTTTCCGAAAGCTTGAAACAAAACTGGGTCATTATTCACGGAAGTCAAAAGAAAATCTCCTTTTTTAGTAGTTTTATTTTTAGTGTATCTTGTTTTTCATTATTTTTTTTTCCGGTCTCGAAAACACAATGAAATAAAAGTCATCTGTCGCAATATTTGTAGTAGACTGTAGACAAACACTATCCTTGTTGTTTGTTATCATTGGTGATATGTCCATGGGTTTATGTACCCTTACGTCCCACTAGTACGTGTTCGTGGACATGAAGACAAAGTTTTAACGAAACAGCCCGTTATTTGTACGGTGTTCATGTGTCTTTAGTTGTGACGCGACGCTTATATCTTGGGCAGATATTACATTCAAATTTGGTGTAATTAGCGATGAACCCAGTTTTATCACAGTTATCACGAATCACTTATTTCCTCAAGGTTGAGTTCTTAGACTTTTTTTTCTAAATTATAATGAAAACCAAATATCAATATATACATTATGTTGTTTGTCTGTTTGATGTTTGAAGTAACCAGATCAAAGAAAGAAACATATACAGTAAAAGTGAGTTTTCATTCCATATCCTTTTATATTTTTTTGCAAAATGTATTTTCATTACATGTGCTTAATATTGTAAAAATATTTTCTGTGTCTTGGGATGTTTATTGCGTGACCTTGAGACTTGCAATGCTCGAGTTTTCTGTATATTTCATGGTTTCTGTTTTTGGCAATTTCGTTGCATCCTCAGAAATTGCGAAAAAAAGCCCACGATCGAGAATATGACATACATATTACATTGTATAATGATGGAAAAACGAAACTGAGCATTTAGACAGTTTGATCTATAAATTCATCGTAAAGTCGTTTACATTTAAATCTTTACTTACAATGCTCTATCTTTGCAATGGCACAGTGAATAAGACAATTGACCAATTGGGTTTCACATTTATAGTTGAACTGGCGACGCTGAAAAATGTCACTGTGACGTTCTCCCGGCCGACGGTACTCTCAATACGTCACTATAACTTTCTCCCGTCCGACGGTACTCTCAATACGTCACTATAACTTTCTCCCGTCCGACGGTATTCTCAATACATCACTATAACTTTCTCCCGTCAATACTCTCACTATCACTTTCTCTCCCGGCCGACGGTACATCTCAATACATCACTTTTACTTTCTCCCGTCCGACGGTACTCTCAATACATCACTTTTACTTTCTCCCGTCCGACGGTACTCTCAATACATCACTTTTACTTTCTCCCGTCCGACGGTAATACTCTCAATCTCAATACGTCACTATAACTTTCTCCCGTCCGACGGTACTCTCACTTTTACTTTCTCCCGTCCGACGGTACTCTCAATACATCACTATAACTTTCTCCCGTCCGACGGTACTCTAAATACGTCACTATAACTTTCTCCCGTCCGACGGTACTCTCAATACGTCACTGTGACGTTCTCCCCGTCCGACGGTACTCTCAATACGTCACTATCACTTTCTCCCGTCCGACGGTACTCTCAATACATCACTATAACTTTCTCCCGTCCGACGGTACTCTCAATACGTCACTATAACTTTCTCCCGTCCGACGGTACTCTCAATACATTCAATACATCACTTTAACTTTCTCCCGTCCGACAGTGCACTCAATACGTCACTATAACTTTCTCCCGTCCGACGGTACTCTCAATACATCACTTTTACTTTCTCCCGTCCGACGGTATTCTCAATACGTCACTATAACTTTCTCCCGTCCGACGGTACTCTCAATACATCACTTTGACTTTCTCCCGGCCGACGGTACTCTCAATACGTCACTATCACTTTCTCCCGTCCGACGGTATTCTCATTACGTCACTTTAACTTTCTCCCGTCCGACGGTACTCTCAATACATCACTTTAACTTTCTCCCGTCCGACGGTACTCTCAATACGTCACTATAACTTTCTCCCGTCCGACTGTAGTCTCAATACATCACTTTGACTTTATCCCGTCCGACGGTACTCTCAATACATCACTATTACTTTCTCCCGTCCGACGGTACTCTCAATACGTCACTATAACTTTCTCCCGTCCGACGGTACTCTCAATACATCACTTTTACTTTCTCCCGGCCGACGGTACTCTCAATACGTCACTGTGACGTTCTCCCCGTCCGACGGTACTCTCAATACGTCACTATAACTTTCTCCCGTCCGACGGTACTCTCAATACGTCACTATAACTTTCTCCCGTCCGACGGTATTCTTAGTACGTCACTTTAACTTTCTCCCGTCCGACGGTACTCTCAATACATCACTTTTACTTTCTCCCGGCCGACGGTACTCTCAATACGTCACTGTGACGTTCTCCCCGTCCGACGGTACTCTCAATACGTCACTTTCACTTTCTCCCGTCCGACGGTACTCTCAATACATCACTTTAACTTTCTCCCGTCCGACGGTACTCTCAATACGTCACTATAACTTTCTCCCGTCCGACGGTACTCTCAATACTTCACTTTTACTTTCT